GTTGATGCCCACCTTGAAGCCGGTGGGACACCAGTCCACAAACTGGACGGAGCGTTTGGTCTTGATGTTGGCGATGGCGGCGTTAACGTCTTTCGGCACCACGTCTCCACGGTACAGCAGGCAGCAGGCCATGTACTTGCCGTGGCGAGGGTCACACTTCACCATCTGGTTGGCGGGCTCGAAGCAGGCGCTGGTGATCTCCCCCACCGTCAGCTGCTCGTGGTACGCCTTCTCAGCAGAGATGACCGGGGCGTAGGTGGTCAGGGGGAAGTGGATCCGGGGGTACGGCACCAGGTTGGTCTGGAACTCRGTCAGGTCCACGTTCAGGGCRCCGTCGAAGCGCAGGGAGGCGGTGATGGAGGACACGATCTGGCTGACGAGCCGGTTCAGGTTGGTGTAGGTGGGACGCTYKATGTCCAGGTTCCTGCGGCAGATGTCGTAGATGGCCTCGTTGTCCACCATGAAGGAGCAGTCYGAGTGCTCCAGGGTGCTGTGGGTGGTCAGGATGGAGTTGTAGGGCTCCACCACAGCCGTGGACACCTGAGGGGCCGGGTAGACTGAGAACTCCAGCTTGGACTTCTTGCCGTAGTCCACCGACAGACGCTCCATCAGCAGGGAGGTGAAACCAGAACCGGTTCCTCCACCGAAGCTGTGGAAGACCAGGAAGCCCTGAAGACCGGTGCACTGGTCCGCCTGAGGACACAAAGGACAGGTGTTGAAGGAAACCTGGACCCAGACTATGTTACGCTGAGTCAGAGAAGGGGTTCTCTGCAGACKCAAGTCTGAAGCATAAACACTGATCGTTGAATTTGCTGTTTTTCAAAAAGGTTGGTTCTTCTTTCACTTTTGACTTTAACTACGTTCATATTAATTAATGCAACCAAAACTGCTTTTGTTTTTTCAATGAAACCACAATGTATCATTAAAACCAAACAATTAGTTCTCTCTGTTTCTAAATGTCTCAAAAAATGAGAAACACTACAGACTGATGCCGCTCTTAATTTGAAATACAACCTGGAGCTCTATAAGAGAAGTGGAAATAATGAATGAAGACTTCGGGTCGACACCGTCTGCGTCTTCATATAAACATATAATACCAGCAGCTAAGCTGCCGGCTGTTATTATTTACAAGTCTTCTAATTACCATGCTAACAACAGCAAGTTTCAATACTAAATGTTTTGAAAATAAATATGAAAATCTGATGCTAGGGTAGAGAGTAAGCTAATAATATAAAGAAACGCCGAAGCACTGATCATCAGAAAATAAGAGCGACATCAGTCTGTAGTGTGTTTTATTTTTAGAGACATAGGGAGAACTAAATGTTTGGTTTTAATGATATATTGTGCTTTCATTTTAAAAAAAAAAAAAAAAAAAAAAAAAGCAGTTTTGGTTGCTAAAATTAATGTGAAACTAGTTAAAGTCAAAAGTGGAAAAAAACAAAAAAAGAGAAGAACTGAACTTTTTCAAAAAAAAACAAAAAAAAAACAGAGCAAATACAACGAGCCAATCAGCGTTTATGCTTCAGACACGCCTACTTTGAGTCTGCAGAGAACCCCTTCTCCCTACTTGCTGCAGCGCGGGCAAGACAAAACATCAACTAGATCAATTTATACATACCAACTTGCGGATCCGGTCCAGAACAGGGTCGATGATCTCCTTTCCGATGGTGTAGTGACCCCGGGCGTAGTTGTTTGCAGCGTCCTCCTTACCGGTGATCAGCTGCTCCGGGTGGAACAGCTGGCGGTAGGTTCCAGTGCGCACCTCGTCTACAGAAAAAAAACACAACTAGAATTAACACACAGGCAGCATTTAGCAGAAATAAGGCCAACCAGATGAGGGGTACCAATGACGGTGGGCTCCAAGTCCACAAAGATGGCTCTGGGGATGTGCTTCCCAGCTCCGGTCTCACTAAAGAAGGTGTTGAAGGAATCATCCCCTCGGCCGAGGGTTTGGTCAGCAGGCATCTGGCCGTCAGGCTGGATGCCGTGTTCCAGGCAGTACAGCTCCCAGCAGGCATTTCCAATCTGGACACCAGCCTGGCCCACGTGGACGGAGATGCATTCACGCTGCAGAGATTTAAAAAAAAAATGCAAGAAAAACTTTTTTTCTTTTCCTTTCCTAACCCCAACCTCTTTACTTTTCTAAATATAATTAGGGTTTTACAAATTTAACTGTTTAATACCTTTGAATTATTAAAAAAAAAACAGATTATAGAAGGTATAAAAATCACTGCATGTTCTACAGTTTGCTTTTTAATCCCAGAACAGTTGAGTTCAGGTTTAAACGGCTTGAGCCCTTTTGTTTTGGATTAAAAGCGGATTTAAAAACGGCGCGCAAGAGGCGAGAGCCGAACCGTAAACCGAAACGCATTTAAAATTAACCGCCGAAACGGCAGTTGGTCGGTTAAAATGCTACTAAATATATCTTTTTTAAACCGAAAGACATAAAAATGCAATAAATTTCACAAAACCTGATTTATTCAGGCTTACAGACTAACATAATTCACATCTTTGTTCACCAAATAGCTCCAAACCAATGCTAACGTCAAATAAAAACTACAATATACTATAAAACAGACGTTTTGCGTTAAAATAACAGCTATTTGGCATGACGCGGTTGTCATTCCGCCTTTTCTCTCACTTCACTGCGACAAATCACATCTTGAAATAAATTAAACAAAACATACACGAATTAAATTCGATATATAAAATCATTTAGTCCTCAAATAATCATCCTTACCATTTTGTTGAGTTGCTTTTTATGTGATGGAAGAAGAAAAACTTTGACTCGTCTCTAACTAGCTTGACTGTCGGAGGCAAACAGAAGACTTCTTCAACGGCTGTTCTCCTTTTATAAAACGGACCGTACCATTGTGACGTCACAAGAGGGGGGAGCCATGGGTCGGACTGTACCACTGTTTCACCTCAAATAGGGAACAGTAAGCTGTTTCAAAACAGAACATAGCTAGCTAAAGCTAACTATTAGAGTAGCAAAAGACTGGCTAATTACATAGCTACAAGAGGCAAGTAACAGATTAGTAGAAGTAGCAACAAGTTAGCTTAAAGTAAGGAAACGCTAGCTAATAGCTAAATGCAACACGAGGCAAGTTAAAAGGCCTAGAATTGTAGCTAATTGTAGCATAAGGTCACATATTAAAACTTTAAATAAAAGAAGCAAAGTGCTAGCTAAAACAGAAAACTGCAGCTAAGAGTAGTAAAAAAACGCATAATAGATTAGCTAAAACAGCAGAATGGTAGCTAACATTAGAAAAAAGTTAGCTAAAACTATTATAAGGCAAGATTAGAGTAATAAATCTAACCAAATTTAATGCATTTCATGCTATGTTGAATATTTTGAAAATTATAAGAATAAAATCTGATGAAGCAGAACAATAAAAAACAGTGTGAATGGTGACTCATACAAATAAAAACAACAAATTTATTTATTGTTAGGACAAGTCATTTCTGAAAACTCGAGCCTGTTAATTTTATTGACGCAACAACGAACTTTATATAACAGTATAGTAAGTTATTAGATGAAGAAAATGGTGATACAAGAGCAACATGGCAAATAATGAAGTGTTTTGAAAAATCATGAAGTGAAAACGCCACAGTATTTTGTTAAAAATGGCATTGAAATTCATGATCAATATCAATTATTTTGTGAATGTTGGCCCAAGTCTTGCATTTAAAATACCTAGAAATGTTAACCACACTGTAACAGGTTGTGTAAATAGTTTATTTCTTTATGAAACTGACAAAGAAGAAATAACGAGTATTACCAGTAGTAATAACGAGTAAATTTTGCAGAAAAGAGATCAAAAGACTGGGCTGACATGGACATGATGTTTGTAAAAGACATAATGAATTCTGTGATTGAACCGTTTACATACATCTGTAATTTATCTTTTTCAACTGGCATTTTTCCAAGCAACATGAAAATAGCAAAGGTAGTTCCTCTTTTTAAAAATGGTGAAAAACGTGTGTTTAACAACTACAGACCAGTATCCCTGTTACCACAATTTTTGGAGAAATTATTTGTGATAAGATTGGACGAATTCACTGATGAGCAGAATATATTAAGTAACAGTCAGTATGGGTTTAGACCAAATAATTCTACATTGATGGCTCTTCGTTGAATTAATAGAACATATAACAACTGCTGTTGATCAAAAACAGCACTGTGTCGTATTTTTGTTGATTTAAAAAAAGCCTTTGATACTGTTAACCACAGTATTCTTTTTGAAAAGCTAAATAAATATAGTATTAGAGGACCTGCAGTGGGTATCTAGTTATTTGGAAGATAGAAAACAATTTGTACAAGTAAATAATGTAAGATCTGAGTTTTGCAACATCTCATGTGGAGTGCCGCAGGGTCCCGTTCTCTAAGTTATTTATTTTGTATGTGAACGATTTGGTAAATGTGTCGGGTCTTTTTGGGTGTGTCCTATTTGCTGATGATACAACATTCTTTTGTTCAGGTAAAGATATAGAACAAATGTTGGAGATGATACAGACAGAATTTGTGAAAATACAAAGTTGGTTTCAACTAAATAAACTTGGACAAGACAAATGATTTGATTTTCTGTAACAATAAGAAAACTATAGATGTTTTATTTAAAATATGATGTAGAGATCTGTAGAGTCAGTGAAGTGAAGTTTCTAGTTGTCATTGTTGATGAAAAACTGACATGGAAAAATCATATAAATGGTTTAAGAACAAAAATAGCCAAATCATTTGGAATTCTGTACAAAGTAAGAGAACTATTCAATGATAAAGCACTGTTTATGTTGTATAATGCTATAATTGTTCCACATTTAATTTACTATATTGAAGTATGAGGTAAAGCTTGTAAAACTATCACAAATCCTATTTTTATTTTACAGAAAAGAGCTATAAGAATTATTACGAGAAAAAATAACAGCCATCCATCGAATATACACTCACCGGCCACTTTATTAGGTACACCTGTCCAACTGCTCGTTCACACTTAATTTC